GTGTTGTCTAATGGTAGACCCTGCTGCTATATGGCATCACGAATATTGTGACCAAGTCCCAGGTTGCTGATCTGTCTTTCTGCCTCATTTACACACAATTGCAGGGTCTTGATTGTTTCTCTTGATAACACAACATACATATAGCATTTCATACCCTAACTTTGGGCTTAAGGATTAATTAAACACGTGATTATTTTTTTAATGAATTAAAAAAATATTATTGTAAATATAAAAGGTCGATCTATAACTATTCTGTACTGACTGATGCTGATAACCTGAGATAATTAATATCCGTACGGCAGACACCCAACTCTTCAAAGGTAGCTGAGCAGTAACTATTTCTGAACTTTTACAAGCATTACAATCTATTAATGCCATAACTGCAACATTTATTTTTAAATCTACAAATACCTGATACAAATGAAGATTTACAGATAACTTTCTTTTCACATTTACATCTGTTAACATCGCTGGTGGCATTGTAGCCAGGTTAGACTCATCTCTGTGACCGGGCTACTGGGCCAAGCTGTTGTTTTTCAACTCGCATTTTCGGGTAGATATGCATAACTTTCTTAATTTATTTTTACTGATGTACATGCACACACCATCCTACATACAGTACATATTGTGCAAAAAGTAAAAGATATAATTGTCCTAAGGGCAAACACATAAAGGGAATACACAACTCTTTGCACACAAGTTAGCTGGCTTAGTCGGGGAGTGGGATGACGGCTGGGCGGTTAGTGTTGGTTGGGGAGCGTTGCCAAGGTATCGACGGAGGTAGCGTTGCTGTTACTATGGGAAACAGGGAGTACAGATGTACAGTACAGGTATATGCAAATAACGACTTGTGTTAAACTTTCATTTGGCTTTTATTTACTGGTTTGGCAATAGTATTTTTTGTTGTAACTTATTTTATTGGTATTATTTTTATTTATTCCTCACATTTACTGGTACTGTCTATATTGTTTTAAGAAAATTAAGGATACAGGAGGAAACTACAGTGAACCCTTGATTACTCGGCATTCGATAACTCGGAATTTCATATAACTCGGCATGGTTGTGGTCACGGAATGTATGTTTCTTTTTTTTTATTATTATTTATTGGGCACTCCCCTACATCCTTGTGTAAGGTGAAGCACAGAAACGTTTACAGCGCCCTACAGGGAAGCATGCTAAGTTCATGCTTGCCTTTATGTCTCATGAGTTAAGGGCGCTGAAGCCTGAAGAGTCAAGGGCGGAGAAGCCTGAAGAGTCAGTGGTTTATGTCATCAAGTTATTGGAAGCTCCAACAACTCCCTGAATACGAATTCGCAACTTTTGACTTACAACAGGTACCTACTTTACTGCTAGGTGAACAGGGACTAATGGGAGCTAGGCAGTAAGTCCAAACAACTTCCACCTGCCCGGGAATCAAACCCGTGACATCTCGCTTGCGAGGCAAGAACGGTACCGCTTCTACCACCGGTCTCCACAATGTATTAGTATAACTCGGGAAATGCTGAGATATACAGTATAAAATTATCTGGGAAAATCTCGGCATATCTGGCTACCTGCATCACCTACCATGCCTCTGTGTCACCTACCATGCCTCTGTGTCACCTACCATGCCTCTGTGTCATCTACCATGTACAGTATCTGTGTCTCCTACTACAATGCTTCATTCTTCGCCTGCAGTGTTGATAAGTGTTACTTTTTACATTTAATAATTACATGTACTGCACATATATGGGTTGATAATTTTTATTGTTGTATTTTTGTAGAAAGGGAAAAGTGCCCCGGTAAGTCGGAATTTGGGATAACTCCGCAAGGTAAGAGCCCCATATATGCCAAGTTATTGAGGGTTTACTGTACACACAAAAGTTTTTTCCTAAATACTCCTTGCTAAAATGGGGGGTGCATCTTATAGGGCCATGCATCTAATATGCCATAAAATATGGTACCATAATGCACTATTGTATACCTATACTGTATATGAGAAACCTATGTCACCAATACTACTTACTTTCATATGTGAAAGTTTGGAGCTTGATGAAGTGGTGTACCGTATTTTTCGGCTTGGAAGACGCATCCTGATTTTGGAAATGTAATTCTAGAAAAAAACTTTTTGTACTTATCAACCAACACCAGTGAAACCATTGCTTGATATACAGCCCTTTTGGCACAAGTACACACACGTCTTTGAATATCATCACTTAGAACTGCATATCAATCGTCATTTTCATCAATTTAAAAAAAAATCTGTATAAGAAGTGGAAATCATTAATACAGCACTCATTTTCTACACCAGATTACCTCCGCGTCTAACGGGCTGTAGTGTTTACATTCTTTCTCTTGTTTTTGTCGGTATGACAACGATGGGAATATTTTCCAACAGTAGAAGGTAAGCAAATGTAAACATGTATATCAACATCTAAAGAAAAAAAAAATCTTTATTTAAAAAACAAAATTAAAAGTAAAAAAGCAACTCAGTAAAAATCAGTTGAATTAAAATTTATGGTGTGAAGAAACAAAAATTCCTTCATTTTGAGACCAGCAGACAACCTTTCGCAATTCCTCAATAGATGGCACTGCCGACCACTGCCATTAGTAAATAAACCGCACAGCAGCAAGGGTTGTGTAGCTGCAGCCGTTTATTTTGTACTTTTTACCGACTGAGTAAATAAATAATCAAATTTTTTGCAGTATATCAACACTATTAGTTAAATCAATTGTTTTATAGTACTGTATAGAGAATACTTGTAATTGCTAAGTACTGAAATGAAGTAACAGTCTTTGTAAGGGGCTGATTTCAGTTGACCCTAAGAACACCTCTGCTACAACTAGCGTCGTGGAACATGCATGGTAATTTTCAAGGTATATTTTTGTAATTTTGTAATAAAAAGTGCGTCTTCTATGCCGCAAAATACGGTACACTGTACATAGGGAGACACCTGGTTACTGAAGCATAGGGGGATCATCAGAATCACCGTTGGATAAGGGTGATGCAGTGGTGGTTGGTGGAGAGGCGGGTGGTGGAGAGGCGGGAGGTGGGTGGAGCGGCAGCGGTAGCAGCTGGTTCTTTCTTGAAAAACATCGTGATTGGTAGTTGTTTCTTCTTTGCTTTGAAGTTTTTAAACATTTCTTGGTCGGGAAACAATATCTGGTTGATTCCTTGGACAATCTTAAGGCTCCGTTCCATGGAAGGGTCGTGGTCAACAATGAAATCAGTTCCCACCTCCACATGTTGAAACAGTTCACCAAAATTGTTCAAGCCCCAACATTCTTGTTGCAATTTCACAATTTCTTCTTTTTCATTTTCCTCGGTACTTTTTATCAACTCTTCCAAATCCTCTTCTGTCAGTTCCTCTCCGTGTCAATCAACCAGCTTTTCCACATGTTCAGCAACCGTGTCCACAAACCCCTCATCACCCAATTGACATGCAACACTCATAATGTCATTCACATCCTTTACTATGGGTGGAAATCCCTGTAAGTTATTCACACACTCAGGCCATAAGGTTTGCCAACAAGCATTCACTGATGTTGGTAATGCAGCCCACAATGCTGTGCTCCTTCCAACACTTGCTATCATCAAGGTCAGGGTTTGCGTCTATGGCATTATGGATACAACCAAAAGAGTGTCAAGTGTAATATGCCGTGAAGATGCGTACTGTATTACACCCTGATCTAGAGGCTGAATAAAAGCAGTGGTGTTAGGGGGTAGGAGCACCACCTCTACTCCTGGATAGCTAAACTGTAAAGATACTGGGTGGCTTGGTGCATTGTTTATCAATAATAACACCTTGAATTCCCTCTTCTTGGAAGCAAGGTATTTTTCCCACTTCTGGGACAAAGCATTTATGGACCCAATCCAGGAATGCTTGCACAGTTGCCCATGCCTTTTTGTTTAACTGCCAAAAAAATGGCAAAAGGTTCTTGTTTTTTCCCTTTAAAGCCCTAGAGTTTACTGAGTGGTAAAGCAAGCCAAGTTTGATCATGTGGCCAGCTGCACTGCCACTGGAGATTAGTGTCACTCTGTCCTTGGCTGCCTTGAACCCAGGGGCACGTTTCTCCTGCTTGTTTATATACGTTCTACCAGGCATTTTTTTTCCAATATAAACCGGATTCATTGGCATTAAACACTTGCTCTGGTCTATAGCCTTTCTCTTATATTATTTTCTTTAACTTGGCGGGAAATGCATCTGCAGCTGTGTGGTCAGCTGATGCGGCCTCCCCAGTCAGCTTCACATCATGGAGAGAGAATCTTTTCTTAAAATTCTTGAACCAACCTTTACTGGCACTAAAAGTTGGTTCAGTAGCCACACTAGCCCCTTCACCACTTTAGCACTTTCAGGAGCACTCGCTTGAACAGAATCACGAATTGCTTGTTCATTCTTTGTTATGTACCGCACTGTGTATTCGTTCACACCAAATAACCGACCAACCGCTGCAGCTCTCACCCCCTCTTTTATCTTGTCTAATAATTAAATTTTCTTTGCCAGGGTCATAACTGACTTTTGCCTTTTGTGTTTCACTCCACTAGCATCACTAGCTCTGACACTAGACAGCCTTTTCGGGGTCATTTTCACAAAGAAACACGAAAGTTTTGAGGGTATGACACTGGATACTAGGTCTCAGGCACTGGTTGAGGGCAAACAGAGCAAGCTGAGAAGCCGTGGGTGACTCGTTGCGCTGCGGGAGAAGGCTCGCATGCTAGCCACCCGAGCCACCAGCTGCTTACCGCGAATCGTCAAAATCACGAATCGTAAACCTGCAAGTGGGAATGGTCTACTGTACATATTTCTGGTTTCAAATTTCTCCGAATTTGGACGTGGTGGAGATATTCATGCATATTAGTGCACGTCCATATTTGAATACAGTAACAGTACAAAACTTTGATGTATAGCATACAGTGACATAATAGTTTCCAGTCTTATATATTTGAATTTTATTTAGTGTGATTGTTTAAAGTTTTTTTATATCAACGTGTTTTTCTATATGATAAATTGTGTTTGCAGGAGGATTTTCACCACCACCACAATTTCAAGCACCACAGTTTCAAGCACCACAGTTCCAGGCACCACAGTTCCAGGCACCACAATTCCAAGTGCCCATCTCTCAGCCTCCATCTATGATGGTGCAACAACAACATCATCATCATCAGCAGTCCCAGCCTAGACAGATAATTGCAAATAATGTACACATTAATGCACAGAGATAAGCAAGGCTGGCTGGTGTAAACTCTTTATTTTTTGTCATCACAAAAGGACTTATATAAATGGAACTAATGACCAGAAGATGTAATGCTATTCATTATGGTGAAGTTACATCTATGGTTGGTGTTTCCGATGTTTAGAGCACACACCATTGACAATATTCTGAAGAGATAGTCAACAACTACCGTACTAGTATCTGTTCCCTATTGTCTTGGCTGTTAATTTGTAGTTGCTCTACCCTTATGTTGAATAAAGGAGTTTGAACAAGTCTTTACTCCAAGACTGTGGCTATCCATGATTCTATGAACATTAATTTAACTTTTCATGTTTTTATTATTGACTAATTATGGGTCATCCATGATGTCAGTTTGTCTGTTCATAAGAATAGCAAAAGATTATACAGTATTGTAAATAACCTAAGAGACAAATCATGTTTAATGAATGGTCAATATTTAGCCTAACTAGTGTGTGGATACTCATGGTCTTGGTGATGGACTAATTAAATCTTGAAACTTAATAACTTGATATAGAATACTGCAGTAAATTTGATATATTTATGGTGTATGTTGTTAGTTTGATAATTTTTAGTCCATCCTTTGTTACACTAATGCCCAAAATGTACTACTGCAGTTGGATAGTCTAAATGTCAGTTTAATATGGTATATGTAGAAAGAATTGTACATGCTCTATTTTTGAGACAAGGGATGCAATGATAGCTGTCTGAATTACCGTATTTTTTTTCTTTGGGCATTTTGTTATTTGTTTCTCAATGCTCAACACTACATTATTTGAAATGCTGATAAGTAAGTTTTGAATATCAGCAGTGGAAACAAAAACTGTTAACATTTTTATAAACAGAGAAATTAAACTTTGACTCATAGTGTAGGCTGTCCATTTGTACTTGTGGAGAAATATTTGCACTTGTAGATGATCCATGTTCACTGTGTCTCAAAACTGTTGTAAATATATTTTTCTTTTTTGGCCACTCTTAAAATGCATTGAAAGAATTTGTTATGGAAATTGACCATTGAACTAGATCATCTTGTGGAAGAGTGTTTAGTGATATGGAAAATGCACCAGTTGGTGCATTTTCTAAAACTCAGTTGGATGGGTTTGTGGTTATTACATAAAGGTCTTTATACCTGTCATTGTACTTGTTCTATCATAAATCAGGTACTATGTTAAGTTCATCAAGGTCATATTAACAATGCCTTTCTATCTGAAAAATATATTCTGTGACTCGTATAAATCACCACTAACTTATCCCTTTAGAGTGCAAACTCTTAACAATTTTTTTTGTGATAAGGAATTAAGAAAAATTTTCAGCAAAAAAAGTTATTTTTTTGTGAATGTTGGGTGTAGTGACTGAAGTGTTTATGGGAGTTTTGCATTTGCTACCCTGCTTTAAATACTGTACTGTATTGGAAATATCTTTGTGGATAGAGAAAGAAAGATAGCAATTCTCTAACAAGAATATGATCAGATTGCCTCATACTTTTCTTAAAGAAATAAATCATATGATCCTGTAAGGAGTGCAGCATCACTGTACTATTAAGAATATTCCATAGATAATACTAGGTAAATTTTTTTATTAGCTTTTTGTTATGGTGTTGATATGTTTTTTAAAGAGCAATCCCTCATACTTTGTTACTATTTGTCATTTAGTGAGTTTGAATAGAAACAGTACTCAGATGCAACTTATATGTATGGGAAACATTAATGGTGATGTCTTTATAAAAAATTCTTTGTCTACATTTCAGAAATTATAGATGGAAGGCAAAGTTGATTTGAGACCCATACATATTGCATAAATAAAATTTCCATATTGTGGATTTGTAGTCCATTTTTAAGCTGCTTTTCTTTTTAATTTTCAGTCACTTACATATTGAAACAGAGTGATTATACAGTGGAACAAGCAGTTTTATTAAATATACAGGTATCCCCCTATTTACGACCATCTGTTTTACAATGGGCAAAATCCACGTTAATGATAATAGTTCAGAGTTAATTGATTTTGTGAGCAGAAGGTTAACCTAATTTCAAATTGCATACATAAAAAAAAATGTTATAATAGACAATATAATTGATACATAGCATATCATAAAATACAATAGTACATGTTTTACGTACCAAAAATAGCTCTTTTCCCAAACCATCCTCTGGGCGATGTAACTCAGTTCAGCCAAGCAATCAACCAGCTGACTCACAGACGTGTGGCTGCCACTCTATGTTTAATGCCATGGCATCACATTGGGGGAGGGAGAGTGTGGCAACACAGTTACAGCCCACCACCTCCACACACGTTCATTTCCCACACATACTCACCCATGCTCTTCATTTTTCTTATTTTATAGTTTTATATATTTTCTCTATTCCTAAGCCACATGCATAGTTTTTATAGAGTAAAATACAGTAAGTGTTAAAGAAGTCCATTTTTCCATAAATTCATGCATTTTCATGAGCATTTGAATTTCAGAACATTTTTATTTTAATTTTTTCTCAAATGAACATGGACAAGTGAAAAAACATGGCGGTTGCACTCCAACTCGGACCATTACATACCAACTCGGCCCATCTCGGATAACCAACTCAGACCATGGCTGCCGCTCATCCTACGTCTTAGATATTTTGAGCACTATGAACACGTCCAATAAAAGGCAAAGGAAAAACACAATGTTTGAATTAATGTTGTTTAATGAACAAAAAAAATATAAATACACATATACGTTACAAATGTGTGTATATATATATATATATATATATATATATATATATATATATATATATATATATATATATATATATATATATATATATATATATATATATATATATATATATATATATATATATATATATATCAATACCTTATTTTTTAATTACATCAACCAGTTGTTGTACATTCGCGATATTGATATTCATAGAACCTCCTTTACACTTAGCATATTCTTCCATAGTAATTGCTGGATAGTGACACATCACTAATCGGAGCCCTGACTCACGTTGGGTGTCGTTGTCAGGTCTCCAGGTAAAGTGAGGTCACTCTCTGTGGGTATACATTGTGTTAGGTCATGCAATCCATCATCAAATGCGATACCCCTTCTCTCAACCATCATGCTGTTGTACCATCTCAAATCATCAAAGAATCGACTCTGTATCTGTGTTCTTCTGGTTAAATAAACTGTTTCAATATCAATATCAATACCAGGAAGTGCCAAAAATTAGTTTACAAGAACCTCCAGACAAGGTTGAAGACCCTGTCAGGACCACCAAGCTGGTTGCAAGTCAGTACAATGTGACATTTTTAATTTTGTAATTCATTTATGTACAGTCAACCCTCACTTTACGCGGTCCCACATTCCGCATTTCCACGTTTACGCGGTACCCTGCCGGAACTCGGGATGCTCACATTCCGCGGTGTGTGTACCCCTTTACGCGGAGAGCGGCTGGCGAGCCGCGCCATTTTTGGATCCAAACCTCCCGCCATCTGCCATGTTGTGTAAGCGGAGCGACCAGGGTGCGCACAAGGTCGCCCAGTCATCAAAACATTACTGAGTTCTTCACCCGCCACCCACCACAGCCGGCCCAAGTCAGTGATAGTGATAATTATAGTGAGGATATGGACTTATATGGACTTTGAGGGGTTTGACAAAGAGGCCCTACAAGCCTCTCTGACTAATATAAGTAAGTGTTAAAAAACCTAATATTATTGATATTTCTCTTAATTATTAATTGTGTGTGCATACCATCATAAAGTTAAGATAATATTTTTACTACAACATAGTTGTGTGTCGTCAAAAAGTGGAGTTTGGGGGTCGGCCCGGTCTCTATTTCAATTAATCCCATATGTTATGTTGTTCACTTTACGCGTTTCTCACTTTCCGCGGTACCCTGTGGGTTGTATTAACCGCGTAAAGTGAGGGTTGACTGTACTGGTTTTCATTAACATCTGGTAGAATGTTTTAATTAAAGGAAAGGTAATAAATGTTTTATGTTATGACGTTGAGATAAACATACGGTAGTATGTTTTAGTTAAAATTTGGTTATCCGAGATTGTCCGAGTTGGTATTTGATGGGCCGATTTTTTTTTTTTAGGTGGGCCGAGTTGGAGGTGCACCAACATGGCAATTGGGGAACACTTTAAAAATGCATGCATTTGCGGAAAAACAAACTTCTGAAACATGAATTTGCAAGGTCAATCTGTAACTTTGAAAAAGGCTAGCAAGCATCTTGCTGACTCTTCCGCCTTTGGGAAAGGCAAAGCTTCGAGGAAGGCCGTGTCTTTAGAGACGAAGTTAGACATTGTTAAGAAGCAGGCTTGGTATTATTAATGTTGTGACTTGTTTAATATTTTTGTATTTATTTAATTAATGTAGCATTGTTTTTTTTCTGTGTTGGACAGTCTAGGAACATATCCCATTGAAACTCATTGTTAAAAGGGGACTGATTACATTATTTTGAATTACATTAGGGTTTTCAGGAATGCAACCCTATCATAAATAGGGGGATACCTTTATTTGAACTACAAGCATTTAATGACCCTTGAATAATTTAATAGGATTCAGAAAGTTATTGCAGGCTTCCTGAAGGGAGTGCATTTTGCATAGCATAATTTTGTTTGTGTACAATGACACATCATCCAAGAGAACAGTCACAAATAGTTGCTACCTCAAATGAGGCTATAACTGTCCACTTACAGTCTCTCAAGAGTGGAAGTACATAGCTTTGAATGTATCTATCAGAACTGTAATGGGATGTACTTTTATATATGTATATCCTGAACTTCATGTATTGCCTTGCCTATTTTGGTAATTGTTAAAATATTTATTTGTAAAAGAGTTTTTTATTTGGTTTTCATTTATATTAATTATAGTAAATACATATTTGTTTGAAATGTATTAAACAAACTTGAGTACAAGGAGAAAATTAATTGCTTGCTATATCACTTTGTATTTCCTGAGCTTTGTTTTCATATGTTATGAAATGAAATTGAATTAGCAGGAATTATACATATCTAGCATGTTAAAGAAATTATTCTCTTGTGTTTCATAGAAGTATTTGAATGCCTGTGGTACTGTACCAGTTCCAATGGTAATTACAGTAATCCCTCACTAACCACAGGGGTTACATTATAGAATTCTTCCATGGTTGGCAAAACCTTGGTTGCCAAGGGCTCTAGGGAAATAAGTGGTTAAAGGAAATGGCTACAGAGACTTATGCAGTCTTACAATGTACAGCCAAATGTTCAAAATAAGTACAGGGTGTATGCTATTCTTAGAAAATTACTTTTATTACACAGTTAGTAAATGTGATACAGTACACTGTGGAGGTACTATAAAAAATTTTAATGGAAAGTGTAATGAAGCAGTCCTCCACAGATGCCATGTCTGGCCTCCATGGTATAACCCTAGCCGTGCTGCTCTCCTTAGCAAAGTAAATGTGTGTGTGTGTGTGTGTGTGTGTGTGCATGCAAATAAATCACTGTAGGGATGCATGAGCCATGTATATGCTGATAACCATATATAAACAAGAGATCATATGTATAAGAGCAGATAATAATCTGCACATAAGAGCTGGGCCTATCAGAGTAGGTTTGTATTTGCATTATATGTTTGGCAACCAGTCACACAGGTGTTTTGTTTTGTTTTTCAATTAAATTAATTTATTCTCATATTTTTATATATGCTTATATTTAAATAAACAATTTTAATTGCATAGAAAAAGCCAGTTAAAAGTCACTCTACTTCATCACTGTGCTATTAAGTACAAATATCGTATATAATATCCTTGCGGAGGTGAGTATTTCAGCAATTAGAACACAAATTCGCGGAGCTTCCCTTTGTGTGTTTTATAGCTGAATCGCCAGGCCAATTAAATGTCAGGTAGCGATGTGTCCTAATATTACTTATTAAGTAATTATTAGATGTTTTAATTGCCTGTATGTTGGCCTGGCAAATTGGCTAGGAATTAACATACCTAGGTAGCATTGCTGATCGTCGCATTCAGAGCATTGAACAAAAATGTATATCTTCAAAAAACTTATAGTATATTGCTCATCTGCATTTTTCAGATAAATATTAATTTTGCCAAAAATAGTTATATCTCTATTGGTCGGAATCCCTCTTAGCCAGTATACTCTTCAATAGCCGTAATTGAAAATTGCTTGACATTTCTCGGGAAAATTTTTCTCAATTCCGGGTTTGTGAAGAATTTTCCGGTGTTGAAAATCGGGCGCATTTTCTGGAAAATTACAAGATAGGTTCCAGAAACTCTCTCCAAATCTCTCTATTCTGGGCCTGAGAATAAATTTTCAGGGAGTTTCGAGAGATTGCATCATGATCCAAAGCATCCCCACACGTCAGGCATTTGGGTGGCTTAGCTGCTTGGATGATGGATCACTTAGTTCATATTCTGCTGCCATTGTAGAAGGTTGTTCCCTCACTAGCTGCTCTTTTTGCATAAAATTTGTGTTGTACATTACTGTACTGGAATAAAATTAGCCAAGAATACTGTGTTAAAGCATGTATAATAATAATAATAATAATAATAATAATAATAATAATAATAATAATAATAAAAAACGGTTTATTGAAAAAGTTTGCAGCCCGAAGGCTGAAAATATACATTGGACATAAATGACTTATTACATACATTGGTGGTTTAACGAAAGCCTTCATTAGAGAAAGGTGAAGGAACATATACAGTGAACATACAGATTAATGTTTACACACGTAGATCATGTGAGCTGAGGTGTTGAACAGCAGACACGAAGTGTAGTAACTCCCTCACAGATGGCGTTATGAGGAGCATCACGTGGAGTACTAGGTCCCTCACAGGTGGTGTTATGAGGGGCTTGACGTGGTGTAGTAATTCCCTCACAGATGGTGTTACAAGGGGCCTGATGGTGTATGAGGGGCCTGATGATGTAGTAATTCCCTCACAGATGGTGTATGAGGGGCCTGATGTGGTGTAGTAATTCCGTCACAGATGGTGTTATGAGGGGCATCACGTGGTGTAGTAATTCCCTCGCAGATGGTGTTATGAGGAACTTCACATGATGCTGTAGCAACTCATTAACTACGTGGTGTCGTAGCATCATGGGGACACCACG